GGGCCGAGCCCCCGCCGCGCGGCCGGTTATCCGGGCCGCGGCCAGGGAACAGGCCCCGCAGTGCCGCCGCGCTCCCTGGGTGGCGCCCAGGAGGGACAGCGCGACTGCGGGCTGAGTGCGGGGCGGGCGCGGCCGGGCGGCGCCCCCGCCTCCGCCGCGCCGCCCGTTATCCGGGCCGCGGCCAGGGAACAGGCCCCGCAGTGCCGCCGCGCTCCCTGGGTGGCGCCCAGGAGGGACAGCGCGACTGCGGGCTGAGTGCGGGGCGGGCCGCCGGACGGGGTGTGGGGGAGGCGCGCCCCGTCACAACTGGCATATTGGTAAAAATCTTTGTCAGGACTTTGCTTTTTAAAAAAATTAGGGTGAATGTAATCGAAGTGTTGTTATAAAAAAATAAAAAGATATGTGAATGTTTGCTGGCAGGGGAGGGGCATTTTGGGGAGCAGAGGAGGGGGAATAGGGATAAGAAGGGTTGGGCTCTGTTGAAGGGAAGGGAGATAAATAGGAATGTGTGGTACTGGCAGAGGAAGTAAGGGTGCTGTAAGTCTCAGGTGGGGGACACATGGGGTTTAGGGGCAAGATGGCTGAGGGAGAATAGGGACAGGAACACTGGTCAGCTCCCTTTCTCAGGCTATGTCCAGACTGCAGGCTTCTTTTGGAAGAAGCTTTTCTGGAAGAGATCTTCTGAAAAAACTTCTTCCAAAAGAGCATGTCTCCACTGCAAAAGCGCATTGAAAAAGTGACCTGCTTTTTCGAAAGATAGCATCCACATTGAATGGATGCTATCACACATTTAAGCTGCGATTACTATCAATGGAGTGGCCACTGGGGCACCTGTGCTTTTTCCTCTTTCCTCTTCTTTTGAAAGAACTCCCTCTTCCCCATCCACACACGCCTTTTTCTGAAAGAGCTCTTTTGGAAAAAGCCTTCTTCCTCATAGAAAGAGGTTTACCAATGTCAGAAAAACCCCTCTGTTCTTTTGATTTTTTTTTGAAAGAACGCAATTGCAGTGTGGACATAAGTGAAGCTTTTTCAGAAAAATGGCCATTTTTCCCAAAAAACTCTGCAGTGTAGACATACCCTCAGTGTACCAGGAACTGAGGGAAGGGGTCTGAGCCCCTATCCCTAGGATGCTGGGGCTCTGCTCCCTGGCTTAGTTTTGTGTACGTGCCAGGCTTTGTGGCCCCCTACCCATAAAGGGGAGTCTGATTTTCCTCCATCTGCCTCCTCATATGAACCAGGAACTAGGGGCTTGGGATAGAGGGAAGCCTGGACAAAATAGCATGGTGGGGGTTGTCTGACTAGACTGGACAGGTTAGAGATGAGTGGCAGAAGGGGGAAAGCTGTAGGGCTTGATCTCAGCTCTGGACACGGAGTGGGGTCTAGTAGGTTACTGCAGGGGGCAGATACACTTCGGCTCTATATGAGATCAGAATGGCCCATACTGGGTCAGACCAGTGGTCCATCTAGCTCAGTATCCGGTCTTCCAATAGTGGCCAATGCCAGGTGTTTCAGAAGACATGAACAGAAGAGGCAATCATTAAAAATGATCCATTCTCTGTTACCCATTTTCAACTTTTGGCAAACAGAAGCTAGACACAACATTCCTGCCACTTCTGGCTAGTAGCCATTGATGGACCTACCCTCCTTGAACTTATTTTATTCTTATTGGAACCCTGTATAGTTTGGGTCTATCCACCATCTCCTGGCAAAGGGTTCTACAAGTTGACTGTGAAAAAACAATGTTTTAAATCTGCTGCCTATACATTTAATTGGATGAGTTTTTTGTGTCGTTAGTGAAAGAGTAAATAATATTTGCTTTTTCTATTTTTCAACACCATTCATGATTTTCTAGACATCTAACATATCCCCCAGCTTTTAGTCTTTTCTTTTCCAAGCTGAAAAGCTCTAATAATTTTGGATACCCTTTCTGTAGCTTTTCCAAATTGAATATATTTTTTTCAAGATGAGGGCATACCATGATTTGAGGCAATATGATATTTCTGTCATATTCTTTATTCCTTTCCGAATGATTCCCAATATTCCATTAGCTTTTTAGTTTTTGGACTACCACTGTACATTGAACAGATATTTTCAGCTATTCACAATGATTCCAAGATCTCTTTCTTGAATGGCAACAGATAACTTAGACCCCATCATTTTTGTATGTATAGTTGGTATTATACTGTATTTTCCCATGTGCATTACTTTGCATTTATCAACACTGAATTCCATCTGTCCTTGTGTTGCCCAATCACCCAGTTTTGTGAGATCCTTTTGTAACTCTTTGCAGTCAGCTTTGGACTTAAGTATTTGAGTAATTTTGTAGTATCAACCAACCAACCAATGAAGGTGCCAATGGTTCTTTGTCTGTGTATAATCTGGTGTTAGTTCTCTTCCTCTCTAATTGCTAACTAATGGTTCTTATCTGCTTCTTAAATATCCATTCTTTAGGTGCTTATAGACTATCAGTTTTGCCTGTTATATACTAACTCGGCTTTCCCTTTGATATTTATATACCCACTGTCTCTTTCTCTCCCCCTCCCATTTTTTCCTCCCCCCTCCCCTCCGCCCTTTCCTATTTATTTTTCATTCTGGACATCCAAAACATCTGAAGAAGTGGACTGTGCCCATGAAAGCTCATGACGCCCAGGGCCATCCTTAGGCATATGCAGAGTATGCAGCTGCGGAGGGCACCACTATTTCTGGGGCACCACTCTGCTGGGACGGACGGTAAGCACCAGAGCAGGTGGGGGCCCTGCTCCAGCAATATTTGGAGCTCAGTCTCTCCCCCGGCTCTGCCTGGAGTGGTCCCCGTTCCACACCTGCGGTCCCCGTTCTGCATCCTCCCACCCCGGCCCCAGAGCGTCCAGCCCGGCCCTGGACTGTCCCTGCCGTGCGCGGCTTTCAGTGCAGCTCCTCCTCGCTGGCGCGCGCTGCTTCTGCTACCATGCACAGTGTTTGCAGGTGAGTGGGGAGGACGCCCGGGTATGACATGATGTTGCTCGGCCTAGCTCTGTGTTTGGAGTCCGGGCCCCGTGTCCGGCCCCTGGGCTGCCAGCAACATCTCCTTAACAGTTAAGGCGGCATGTGGGACCTAAGGGAAGTGGGGGAGGGGAAATCTCTTGCAGGAGTGGGAGGGAAGGGGAAGACTGCCCCATTGTCTTCGCTGCAAGGAGTGGCCAGAGTTGGGGAAGCCCCAGAACCCCTTCCCAAAGTGGGGAGCTGAGAAACGGGAAGAAGGAGCAGCCATAGCTGGGCAAGCCCCAGAGGCTTTTGCTGTGGGTGGGGCATCAGTTGAAGCTGTGTGGGGCGTTTTTTTTCTTCTCACTTGTGGGTGGTCTTCAACTGATATCTCTGTGGGTTTGTGGCTCCCAACCCAAAAAAGGTTCTCCACTGCTGCATTAGAGGTATGGCACAGCTTCACTATGAGGAGAGATTAAAAAGGCTGGAACTTTTCAGCTTGGAAAATATATAAGGAGGGATACAATAAAGGTCTTTAAAATCATCAAACCTGTGGAAAAAGTGAATAACGACGTGTGATTTACCCCTTAATGCCATCTACATGTTTAGTCAGTCTTTAAAGTGCTACCAGACTATTTGTTGTTTTTGAAGTTTGTAGTAGCTGCAAATTTTGTCACCTCACTATTTACCCCATTTATAAATTTAACAGTGCTGGTCCAAATTCAAATCCCAGCAGCACAACATTCATTGCTACTCTACCCCTCCCCCCCATCTCTTAAGTACCGGGCAATGTTTTCATACTTGAATGACCAGTCTTTTGTTATTCTTAATCACCCGCCTCTCTCTTTTTATAACAAACTCCCTGCCCAAAAGGCAAATAGGCAAGCAGCTCAGTCTCTTTTTCATTGAAGAACTGTATCCAGGGCATGCAGCTTTAAGCAGACCTCAAGTATGAAATCCAGGGGTTTAAACTTTGGGGAGGGAGGGCTAATACCTCATAGCACCCCTTAAATTGCACCCTTAATAAACAGAGGTGGATTAAGGGTTTGTGGGTCATTGGCCTATAGCAAGTGGGGCCTCTCTGCCTTGCCCCCCCCCATGCTCCTGCTATGGAAATGGGGTCAAGGCATGGGGGCTTACCCTTCTCTCTGGCAGAACACAGGTCAGGTGGAGTGGGGCAAACCCTCACATCCCAGCCCCACTCCCAGGCAGGAGCCCCAGGTGGGTGGACCAGTCAGGGCATTCCCATTTTTCTGGGGTCCCCCAATTGACCAGGGCCCTTGGTCATAGACCACATTGGCTCAGGAGTTAATCCATCATTGAGTATAACTGTTGCTCAGGGGTGTGGTTTGCCACACTCCTGCGTGATGTAGTTATACCAATATACAGGGCTCGCCAGCTGCATGGTTCTGCACTCTGTGCATATCGTTCTGCGCATGCGCAAATAGCTCCGCTCCAGCTCTTCCGGGGTGTAATCTACTCGCCACAGGGGAGTAGATTACACTATTTGTCGAGCCCTGCCAATATAGATCTGTAGTGTAGACCTGGCTTGAATCTGCTCTTTTGACAGAATACCACTTTTGTGAAATTTAACAACCACTTTACTATAATCACAAGATACCATCTACATCTATACAGGGCTATCCCTGGGGTCTCAGGGCAAAGGGCAACCCTGCCCAGGCCCTGCTCCATCTGTGTTCCACCCCTGCCCTGCTTCACCCTATCCCAAAGCTCTGTCCCTGCTCTGTCACTTCCTGATCCCATGGCACCCCTTGCCTGAAGCCTCCTCTCCCAAGCAACGCAAGCCAGGGGTTTACCAGGGACCTGGCTCAGAACAGCAGCGGGAGCCCCCCCGCACTCACCACGGTGGTGGAGTGACCCAGCAACAAGATCTGCTCCGCCATGCCCTGCATTTCCCAGCCTCCTGTGCTCAGCTTCTGTGTGGCAAGGAGAAGCAGAAGGCCCTGGGGCTGGGACTCCACTTGCCACTGCCACAGTGAAGCAGAGCACAGCAGGCTGGGAGGTGGGTGGCAGAGCGGAGTGCCCTGGTTGCTGAGTGCCTTTGGCTCCTACCATCGATCATGCAATTTAGGTGACCTGGATTTCAACAAGGGATGTGAACAGATAGCGGTTAACTGGTGCTGGGAGCAGCCCTCCACTCACGGCCTGTGGTGGGCAGAGGGCTGCCCTAGTACTGGGGTTGGGAGCTGGTGGCAGCAGCCCCACCCTATGGACTGGGAGCTTGTGGTGGTAGCCCCAGCAGCTGGGAGTAGGCAGCCAGCATCTTAGTGCAGGGGTGGGGAACCTCAGGCCTGGGGGGCCTCTGGATCTGGCCCCTGAGGCTCAAGCACCCCACTACAGCATAGGGGAGCCCACACTGGCACTTCAGTCTCTCTCCCCACTGCCAGGCAAGAGCATACAGAATCTACTAGCCTGGGCTCCTCTAGCCGCTGGTGCGCAAGGGAAATGTGGGGAGTGTCTCCCTGCTTCTCAGTCAGGGGCCACTTGCCTCCCACTTGTGTGTAGGCCCCCTACTAATTTTTCTGTGGGTCAGCAGCCTCCAGCCCCAAAAACGTTCCTCGCCCCTGCCTTTGTGGGAGCTTCCCTCGGCTCGGGGCTCCAGCTGGCCTGAAGTGGTCCCCCGCCACATCGTCAATTATCCCGTTACTTGATTAACTGGAATTTTAAATCCCCAGTTTCAGTCTCACCCCTAGGAAAAACTTGACCCGCTCTTTGCGGCCAAGGATACAGGGGCACATCCTCATAAATACAACTTGTTCTTTTTCAAAAGTGGCGACTCTTTCCAACGTGCTGCCAACTTCCCGAAGATGAGCTAAAGACTGCGGCCTGCGCCCCCTCAATGGCTCCTCTCAGCCTGTGTGCCAGGCACGCCGGGCGCTTAGGGAGGGGCGGCGGGCCGCCGGGGGAGCAGCCCCCCGCGCCCGTTGG